CCCCAAAACCCCAAAACCCCAAAACCCCAAAACCCCTAAAGCGGACACTAAGTTGAAAATTATGATTTCATCAAGGAATTACCATAATTCTTGATGCCTGAGAGATTGAGGGAGGAGATCCCTCCAACGATAGACCTCTTAAGTGTCGATGCTTTCTCTAAATATTACCACAATATCTTACTCCTAGGCTTCAGTAGAGCTTTCTTATTCCTAGAAGTATGTTTCTTTACCTTAATAGGTGGAATAACTGGCTTTTTTTCGTCAAGAATTTTATCTTCCTTCACTTGAGGAGCTGACTCTTTCTTTGCATCCTCATTTTTCTTGGGTTGTTCTATAATTATGGCCAGGCATTTACCAAGAGTTTTGAGCTCTTTCTCCCATTCAAGTTCGACACTGGAGACATCATAGTCTTCACTATCGTAATCGACTTTGATAATCTGAGGGAATTGGAACCTTTTCTTCTTCCTCTTCTTTTGTTTTGGAGAGAAGGTCTGAATCGAAATTGAGCTGGCTGGATTTTGGTAGCTGTGCAGATCATTAATTTTCAATCCAAAAATGTCAAATATTTCAGGAAATATCCTCCTAATACTTACTATAAAGGGTCCAGATTCCTCTTCTGGTTAATCCTACTTATATCTCAAAGATTTGAGGAATGACTGTTGTAATCTCTAAGCTTCTCTACAGATTATAAACCAAGCTTACTTCGTAACTGAGGCAATGACTTTTTGTGGCGTGTGACCACAAAAGTTTCACTTCCCTGATTCTTTCTCAGAGTAGTTGCACTTATACTTTTAGGGATACAGGAAAGATCTCTCTTGTATCTCAGATATTTCATACCAGGAGATTGATACACCTTCTGTCTATACTTCAATAAGTCTGGTGCAGTAGAGCCTACCATCCTAGATAGTAAATACTTACCCTGAATCAATTTCTTTCAACCTGGATCTCTCAGATATTAACTTGTCCAAACTACGGTTTTAAGGTTCACAATTACAATCCTTTCTTATAGTCTATTGAAGACGCGATTCATTCCATTCTTGTTGTCTTTGAACCAACGTTGAACTTGCTCTTGTTAGATTTCAGATTTGGGAGCTTGGACAAATTCAAACTTGTATTCTTCGATGTAAAAATCTTGGAATCCCCTGAAGAAAGTATTAGCAACGAAGTGAGTTTGAGAAGGTTGAGCCATACCTTCGTAGTAGTACTCATGATTCTCATTTCTGTTGTATTTCTGACCTTCTTGTCGATCAATAACCTTGAGCGTTTTCTTCCATTCTGGAACCTTATAATGACTATATTTTTATTGGGAAATTATACCCATTTGTGTTGATAACTATGGATTGGTTAATATCACTCTCATTCAACATTTCCTTAATGATTGGATTATTAATAGGTTCAACCTTGATGACCTTAGTTGATAGTCCAGACAAATCCTTAGGAGTTTGTGGAGGATTCTGGTTTAGAACTATGGTAATCAGAGAGTAATCTCTTACCATGCACATCAGGCTTCTTCATCATCTGAACCTGTTTCTTAATAGGTCCGTTTTTATTTATTTTTTGGATTATTTTGTCAACTTTGTGATCGATTTTGGTCAAAAATCTATAAAGATCAAGCTAAATTCTATAAACTCTCAGAATACTTTTCAAAAGGGCTATCTTACCCTGAAACTTGAGATCTCTTGGCATATTTTAACAAAAATATTATAATTTTACTCTCAGAGGCCAATATTCTTTTCTATTAAAGGGGTTTTGGGGTTTTGGGGTTTTGGGGTTTTGGGGTTTTGGGGTTTTGGGG